CAGCACATCGTCGCCGGAGAAGCTTGCAGGCAGCACAAGGGGTGATGGTGTTCAAAGTTGTACCTAGATGTGGAGGAGGACCTACACCCATCATGTGCGATCTCCTTCCTACTATCTGATGATTATTATTGTTATTGTTATTATCATAACAATTATTACTTGCCACCATTGATTTTGAAGCATTGATTTCTCTCTTTATCCTTTTTCCTATTTCTTCCTCTTCAAATCTCTCCCTGAAAATGTCACCAACACAAGAAAGTCAATATCTATATATAAAATTCACTATAATAAATAAGAACGATACAATATATATACATTGAATTGGTCATGTAAATTAAATCAACTAAAACAAAGGTATATTATATATGATAGTACTCGGCTCAGCTCGGCTCATTTACCTTTCTCTGAACATTCATATGTTGTGTAGAAGAAGAAGAGGGAGGCAAGTAAGAAGTGGAGGGGGATAGAGAAAGGGTGGTTGCTTAAAAGGCAAAGTCAAAATTCCATCAATGGAGCGAATAAAACACAATTTTTATTTTTGTATCACCAAATAATTGATGAAATACGTAGATATAAAATGGTACGTAATTTATACGGTAGTTCTTGCATACAATTAATTAAGAAATTTGTTATTCTCAAAAAGAGATCGCAAAAAAGAAAATTCTAGAGGAAATTAGAAGGAAAGTGAACACAAATTATGAAAATATATTGGTAATGCCAGCTCTGATTCATGCTTCCCCCACGTGTGGTTACTTCACGGCTATGAAAGCCAATTTATCATTGACCACATTTATTTTAATTTATATTTGGTTTTTTTTAGAGAAATCTATTTGTGATTTAATTGAATTTAGACCATAATCCTCTAATTAAAATTTGCAATTGGCCAATATGATCAATTTTCACATTGTCATATACAAAGTGTAAATATATAATATAAAATGGATGTCAAGTGTAACTAAATGAGTACTCCATGATCCGTATATGTTAGCGTATGATTAAATCTTATAAGGTGACTATTATTCAAATTTTATAATCTAATAATCTCGTCATTTTTTCTTGTTTTATCTGTGCTCCGTATAATGTCATAATAATAAGTCATAATTTATGAGTGATGTTATTACTTATTCAACCCAAATAGTGGATTTGGCCACAACATTATATTATATCAAGTGAAATCTGAAAGAGATAACACTAAATGACCATTAATTTATTTTTCAAAAGGTTATACGTTAATTATGCACCTATTTAATTCAGTGGCGGAGCCAGGATTTATAATTCGGGGGGACAAATTTTGGAGGTTAAAGTTTCGGCAAAAATCTCAAGAAAAAAATTGATAACCTAAATTGTTTAATATTTATTTGAAATCACATATGCCAATTATTTCTATATGGAAAAAGAGGGGTAAAAAAGTTTTATTGTATATTAAGAAAATTATCCAACAAAAATGAATAAATTTATATTTGTAAATCCTGTTATGTAATCACATAATTGATAAATACGAATTAATTACCTTATCATAAAGTCAAATAATTATCGTTAAAACAAATTGATGGTAGATATGAAGGGCCAGGGTTTGAGTTACATTCGAAAAAATAAACTCAACTTTTTCAAATCAATCATATTATTAATATGTATTTCGTTAAAACACAGTTACAAACAATTAATTAATAGTAATCTATTTATTAGAAATGTAAAAAAAAAATTGAGTTTAAGCACACTTAGTTAAGCAATAATTAAAAACAAGAAGTAGGAAATAAGAAAAAACATTAAAAATCCTAAAACAAGAAATAGGAAATAAAAAATCAAATTAAAAAGGTTGTTGAAAATTAGAGTATGTAATAAAAAAAACAGGAAGTAGGGGAAAAAAAAAAACAAAAAAGCTGAAAAACAGTAGAGTAGGGAATCGAACCTAGGACCAAAACACAACCTTACTAAGGACTCAACCACCAAACCATATTCAATATTGTGATATCTACTGTAAGTATATGTTATTTATAGCCTTTTACTGTATTTTCTTGATTTTTTTTTTTTTTAAAAAAACTTTTTTTCCGAAAATGGGGGGACAACTGTCCCCCCTTGTTCTAATGTGGCTCCGCCACTGATTTAATTTGTGGTACACCTTATTAGACTAATTTTTCCTTACATGAATAATTATTAGGGCTGACTAGTGAGTAGTGACTACTAAGCCTTCAAACTTGAATTAGTGAAGAGTGATTAAGCGGGAAAGCATACAAAGTAACAAAAGAGGTAGTTGACTCAAGAAAACCGCTATCCTGATGTTAGGTAAGAAAATGAGGCAACTTAGATTATCCAATCGGGTACAAACTAAGCTACTAAATACTAACCACTAAACATAATACACTCACTGTTTTTAGATGTTTCAAATTAGGTTGGTTTATATGTACTTAGTGATGTTTAAGGTTGTAAATTAATTAACCATTCGATTTATCTGTGTATCATTAACTTAATTGTTTGTAATTTTGAATCAACATCAAGATATGATTTCACGATAACCTACTATGGTTCTAAGTTATATGAATGAAAGAATATACGAGTATGGAGTATTTAAAAACTATACACGATCAGGTATATCAAACACAATGCAAAGCATAATTTAAAATACGATTTAAAATACGATGCAATTTTTTTTTTTTTCTCATTATTTTAATCGTTAAATTTTTAGTTAAGTTGATGTATGAACTCTAAACAAAATACCCTAACACAACACAATGCAAAATTGCAAATTAACATATTGCTCATTAGCTTAATTATCTTTATTTTATTTTTTTTTATTTTTTATTGTTTGTTAAAACTTACAATCTGGTGTTGCTTAGAATTGAAACCCATGACTCATATGAGTTCATGAGTTCTTGTTTGACCCGAAAATTAAGGCTAAGAAATCGCACAGTTGTTTCAAATTAAGTAATTTACATACACCTTATATTAACTACTTCACATGAGTGTCCAATTAAATAATTTGGTACTACTACTTATTAGCATTTCCTTCTTGCATGCATACTGAATTACTTTATAATTATATTATTCTACATGAAGAATATTATTGCAGTCAATCTAACTTCACCGGCCATCATGTGACTAGGTTTTTCTCTCAATTTATAAATCCCATTTTCCAAACCCCAATTATGTTACAATTAATTAATATTAATTGCAATTATGAATAAGTGAATACTATGATCAACCAAGGTGTAAAACATGACATAAGCAGCAATGATCAAATAATCATAGTTGCAAACTTAAATTTTTTTCAATCATCTAATGTTGTATGTGTTCAATAAATTTATTGATTACTATCAAAAACATATTTTTATACATTGGATATAATATCGATTGACTATATAAAGTAAAGAGAATAGCACTTATAGTCCTACACTACTAGTCTATTACTAAGGGTCTGTTCTTTTCAGCTTATTTTCACTTCAGTTCCTCATTTCCTTCTCCCATAAAATATCCAGTTCCGTAAATCAAAACAGACCCTAATACATCATACATATATCGATGTATCATACATGTATGTGTGATCGCCTGATCATATCGGACTTAATAATGTTTAAGAGATGAATGATACACGGTGCATCGAACAAATATTAGAAAGGCTTATCAATCCATTAAGTTGTTCATGACTACATCGATTCCGTCAAACAAATGTTCATTACCAAGTCAATTAGTCAATGACAATGAACTTTGTTGAATAAATATATGTACACAGAGTTTATTATGAGATACGATCTGTATTAAATAATAGGCCAAGGTTGGTAGTCTTGCACTCTTGCTACATATTGATCGAGATTCCCTTGTTATTATATACTTGTACTGTTCTATCTTAATATCAAATAGTACTCTGTAATAATAGGTTGAGTAATTCACTTGTCTTATACGAAGTATATATATATATGATTGTCATCATCTTCTTTCTCACTTTATGATATGTACAATTAGTCTCAACTCTTAACATCCAAGCCATTACTGTAAGATTCTTGTGCGTTGACCATATATATGCATGCATGGAAATATAATAGAATCTGCAAATAAACAAAGGAAGACCCAAATAAATTGTTAGTTCAAAGCGAGCTGTCTTAGTAGCAAGTGAATAAAGAAGTAACACAAAAATCAATGGTAGTTGTTCAACTTAATTACAATGGCAGGGGTTTATTAGTTTAACCTTAATACAAGTGATGATACCCAGTCAAATTAAACCACAAAACAAGAAGCAAATTAAATGAGGCCTCAGATTGATTAAAATATGCCTTGGTAATAACTTGGGTAGTGAAAACATGCTGCCTAGCTGCGCTATGAGGGTGCAGTGGTGTATGAATCGGGGACATCGGACATTACGTACAGCTCGCATGATATGGCACGACGAAACATTATGTTATGTCCTCCGGATTGTCAGTCATAGTACAGTCGCTCTGTATTCAATTGAAACTAAAACTTATATCAGTCAACAGCGATTTGTGCGCTAACCATTCGCTATTTATCTAATACATACAGAGTATTGCTTGATAATTAAGCTCATGCATAAAAAGGAAATATTAATGTTCAAGATTGTAGCGTTCAAACTTCAAAATTCAAAATAACAATCAATCAGATTCTTTCTTGTGAAAGTATATTTTACATACTACTGACACTCAGGCACTACTTATATAGAGTTAAACAATAATTTTCTGTGTGGTGATCTGAAGGTGTTACATGTATTATCTTCACCAGTTCACCATAGTATAAGGGTAAATTTGCGTATATCTAGCCTCTTTATAATTACGCTTTGGTCAAGATCTAACTTCATTATTTGAATCATTGTCAACTTGGCCTATGTAGTGCATCCATGATGGGAGAGTAAACCTTAGAACCAAAAAGCTGGGGGGAAATTATGGTGATTTTGGCTTGTTACAAGTTAAATTACATGTTACATGCAAGCAAGATATACAAATAGTGATCAATGATATATATATTAATATATACAAATGTTCATATATTTCCAATTTCTAATGACGCTTTTACACATATTATATTGTACATACGTATTAGATAGCAATTGATGAGTGATATGTAATTTATTAAGCATCCTTGCCATTGAAATATTTGCATTATTTAGGGTATTTCTTAAAGCAACTAGATCTTAAACTTACATAATACGAATGGATCTAATTAGGAATCACCAGAACTAATTGGTAGGTATTTGCAAAAACAAAAATGTAACATATATATGGTAACCCAATGTGTTGCAATGGCGAATTGCTCATCTAAGCTAGAACCAAGTCGAGTAGAGACATCGAAACTTGGCATTGCAACAAGAAAGACGACTAAAACACAAAGTAGAAACAGGGGAACCACTCCTACCCACTACTCTTTCCTCTTCCTCCTCCTCTACTTCTACACTAGGGTACTCAAATGACAACTTCTGCCTATGTATAGGAGAAGGAGTTGACACCACGGAACGCGATTGTGAAGACGGCGATGATGATGATGATGAAGAATTCGAAGTTGATGGCCGTGATGATGACTTGGTAGATGAGGATGATGACAATGTTGGAGAATGATCTCTAGTAAAAGACAATCTTGGAAATATTGATTGAATAAGGTTACTATTACCATCATTTTCTTTCATCTTTTTCTTGCTAGAACTAAAAGCCGGCCTTATTCTTGTGCTTGAATATTTGTTACCTTTGTATTGATACGAAGGCGGGGGAGTTAAGGGAGGAAACAAGTGATCAACTTGATGATCATAATTAGAAGACCTCATAATAACGTGGCGCTTGGGTGTACCTGGACTTGATTCCCACACAAAGGGCACAGCCGCGGGTTCTTGTGCATGATACTCACCACCCCCGGCTTCCACGGACAAGTTGCTCAAATTAGAAGCTTCTCGAGATATCAACCTCCGCCTTCTCCCCACCTTACAACTCGCGACACCAATAGTAGTAGTAGCAGTAGTAGCAGCAGCTGCAGCTTCTTTGGTTTTGACTGAATGGAGATATTTAGGATGATCAACATTCATTTTTGTGACAATTGTCCTAGTTTATTGGAGTTTAAGGTAGCTTTCTGAATGTCGTCTGAAAATTTTGTTGGATCACAAGAATTTAAGCTAGCTAGGAAATAGACTAAATAAAGAAGCCTTTATAATTTCTTTTTATTATATAGTTTGTATATGTATATATATATATATATATATATATATATATATATATATATATATATATGACAACTTCGATCGATACATGTTGATTGATAGTTTGGCACGTGAATAGTAAGCGTCATTAACGGTAGAAAGAGTGGACTTGAACATAAACTAACATATACACTTTAGCAATTAACAGCCATGGATGTGGTGGATTGGGATGGATGACTTTGAGTTAGTTTGAAAAGTTGATGAAATTATAGGAGTACCTGAGATCTTGTAACATTATCACATGTATAATGTTTAATACCGAAAGAGATGACCAATAAATCACATGCTATGATTTATTGATGTTGTGCATCTCATCTAATTGTCAAAAGTAATCCACATTTAATTTGATCGCATCCCCCGCCCAAATATTCAGCTGATCAACATACACTAACTCATGTGTCACATTGATGGTAATCGAGCCAGCCGATTGTCACATTGGATTCTCATACCGCCCTGGGTTTCATCTTTAATTATAGGAGACATAATTGCGATTTCATCTTTTTGAAAATAAGTACAACACTAGCTATTTGACCATTTAATTTCCAGCCAACATACAACTTTAACTATCACTATCATTATCACCATCCCCATCACCTATCCCCACTGCACTCAAATGGAAAGGAGGTGGGATGAATTTCCATTAAAACTAGCCCCATTTTCATAGTAACATGCACGCTTACATCCTTATTCCTCTTAGGGTTGAATTTTTTTCAATGGAGGCGGATGCACGATGCTCCGTGCATCCGTTTTCTCTTTAAAAACGCGGAATGAAAATTTCGTTGATTTGTTTTGTAAAGAACATATAGTTATTTCATAAAGAACATCACATATAGCTGTATTGTAATGAACATATAGTTGTTTTATAAAGAACATATACCTATTTTGTAAAAAAAAACATCCAACTTCATGTTCATTATATGTATATCTAAAGAACATCCTTAATATTAATTAAAAACATGATAATTAGAGGTGATCAACTTTGGCCCGACCCGGCCCGATCCAGCCCGAAAATAGGGCGGGTTTAGACAAACCTAAAAATGCATTTTTAGTTAAAAAAATCCAAACTCGGCCTGAAAAAACCCGAAAAGCCCACTACATTTTCCAGGTTTGACACGAGATATTATGTTAAGGCCCAACCCGACCCAAATTTTTTATCACCTCTAATGATAATATATTGTAATGAGCATTATTTTTATTCAACTACCATAATCTAAAGATATAATTCAAAGAATATTTCAAAATAAACAATTAACATATGTCACAAATAAAAGTACATTATTCTGACAATCAAAGAACATGAAGATAAAGAACATTATTTAACTGCACATTATGTTCATTACAATTTTATAACATGTTCTTTGCACTTTAACTGAATCTTCTTTATATTTTTATACAATGTTCTTTACAATTCTAATAATACAGTATGTTCTTTTCACTTAAACTAAATGTTCTTTATATTTCTATGCAGTGTTCTTTCTGCCTTTTTTTTAGAAGAGATGCACCATGTGGATCGTGCATCCGCCTGCACGAACCATGCATTTCTCTTAGGGTATATATTCTTGTTGAACTTTTTAATGTAGTCTTATGACTTTTGACTACTACAATTTAATTAAAATAGACGGATGAGATTTTTTGTTTTTTGATTTATTTTTAATTAGTAATTATAATTAAAGAAATTATTTTTTTAATAATTTTACACATTTTTATTTCCAGAATTTCAAAAATATTAAGAAATATTTTTTGGTAGATAGAAATATATTTAAAATAATTATAAAAATTATTTAAAATATATTTTATTGTTTGCATTTAACAGTAATGTATTACAGATTAAGCTTTTTCTGTATACATATAGAGCATTTGAGTAATACAAAGCTTTAAAGTGTAGAGTAGACATATTCATATAAAATGTCAAAAATTGGATAAAGAATTATAAGATGAAGAGAGTACTTGATAATCAGTATACCTTATAACTTAAAAGCATGATATGCTAAGTTTTGTTTTTTCAAAAAAACAAAAAAAGAAATCGGACTACAGATGATGTGACAGAAAATAAAAAAAAATATAGTGCTGACGAGAGGTAAACTGGTTTTTATTTTCTAATACCCCACTCACCGCCCTCCACACCCTTCCCGCCATACACGTAAACCTTCTTCCTTTCCTTTTCTTTTTTTTTTTGTTTTCTTTTCTCTTTTTAATTATGGTCACTAAAAATAAAAAGAAAAATAAAGATCTCTGCTTTCTCTTTCATTTTGTATTTAATTTCAGTTATTGTTGGAAATTTGAAGAGGATAATTTAGTTTTTAGATGTCTCTCTTTGTTTTTTTTTTTCTAAGTTGTGTTTGATTTTGGTGGATTTTGCCTTTTGGTCTATTATTTTGACAAATAATAAATACGAAGTACTACACATAGGAGTATCTTATGTTGTCAACAGTTTATACAAATACTCTGTATAAGATCCTTCAAAATAAATAAATAAATTAATTAATTAAAAAATAATAAATAAAAAAGCTCCATATAAGAGGTAGATCATATTCAATACAAAGTACTATACAATGATGAAAGAACTTTTCAAACATTATGTTTCTTACTCAACTTGTAATAATTTAATATGGTTTAATTTTATTTTTTTTAGCCATTTTATGTTTGTTAAGGAAATAAAAAAACTCTAGATTTCAAAGGTTGATATATCATATTCTTTAGGATGATTAAAAGAGAATTTTATTACAAATTAAAATGAGAACAATAGATAAGAAAGGGTTACATGATTTATCTTTGTGTCAATAGCAATAATTAAAAATGAGAAAGTAAAAACAATCAAATTTCTTACAACGCCTTACAAAACATTGTGAATTGGCTAAGAGATCTTGCATTTTACATGTTGATTTTTCCTCCATTGAAGTTGTTATTCAAAAACAATAAAATAGGATTTCATTAAAGTTTTGCTTATAATTATATATTGTTCGTTTTTTATTATTTCAATTTATTGTAACATAGAAGCCAACGACTTTGCAAACTTAATTAAGGACTAAATTTATGAGTGGATGAAGACATTTTATTTGCAAGTAACTCATCCTTGGAGGGGTGAGGTGCACACAAATTTAATATATCTAAAGTTTATGGTCAGTGTTTAATTAGCACCAATGACAACCACAAAAATAAAAGGTTTTTCTCATAAAAACCAAAAAATGTCATTTTAATTATTTCAGGTTTTTCTTTAATTATAAATTGATTATATTTAATGTAATTAATGAAAAAATTGGTTTGAATTATTTTCTAACACGTTGTTTAATTTGATAATTTGAATACAATTACTCCTCACTCTCATTATACAAGCAACAAGTTAACTTATTATACATTAATTAAAAACTCAATTTGTAGCATGAAGGTTCAATGGGCACTCAAGAGGGGGGGGGGTGAATTGAGTGTTAAGTAATCGTTGGCTAATTTTGCTTCTTTTCGGATTATGTGTGAGGAACCAGTTGTGCTGGTTCCCGTACGCAGCGGAATATAAATAAGCAATAAAGAAGACAACAAATTTAACGAAATAAAATAAAGCAATAAAGAACACAACAAATTTAACGAGGTTCAGCCAACTCAGGCCTACGTCCTCCTATCCTAAGTTCTTTATTAATCTACTCCGAAAAACAAAGACAAAGAACACTCTGCTGTTCCCTACTCCGGGAACCAGCAAACCCCACACTCTACTCCGAGTGTGCTCTCGACTTACACTCGTAAGCCCAATGTGTTTGAACTCACAAACACTCACCCAGCCTTTAACCCCTTTGTTAAAGACTCAATACAAGAATCAAGAACTCTCCTTTGATCTCACTTCTACGAAGCTAATTAAGAGAAAAAGTTTAAGTACTAGAATGCTCTTGTATATGACTTGATGAATGGGATTAGTGCTTAAGTATATGCTCTCAAATAATTGCTCTTTTAATTTCTGGAGAGGCACACGAAATATGTGAAATAAGATGAGTTTATATAAGCTTAGATTCCTAAAACCTAGTTTCCTTAAATCACACAATCTTAGAGAATAAGATATAATGTAATTTTAGGAAAGTTTTTATCTTATTTGATTTAATCACAAAGATAGAATCAATTAAGATAAATACTCCTAGATTTTAGGTAACCAAGAATATTTCATCTTATTTCCAGCTGCACAAAATATTTTCAAGATAATCTTTTCGAAAAAAATCTTTTTGTAAAATCTTTTTCCAAAACGGCAGCTCGAATACAGTGAACCTGGTTCCCCGACCTGGTTCCCTGAATTGAAACATGTTATGAAACCTGTTCCAACTTTGTACCAGATTTCATATCATACTTCAATATATTTTTAAGCACTTATATAACCCAAACATGCAAGCATACTACGGAGCATATTACATGAAAACCTAGATAACATATTAAAGCATAAATCGTCTTTTCTTCATGTAATCTTCAAGACTTGAATCTTCCTTGAATACTTCTATTATGAGCAAACAATCTTTCTTCGAAATATCTTCGAAAGGCTTCTATGCTCCAAGTCTTGGAATCAACTCAACTACTGCACATGTAACATGGTTAATGCACAATAAAGAGTATGTGACTGCTTTACCACGTAGCAACCATGGAAACAGTACATACTGGTTCCCTACCAGTACATAACACTTTTATCATATAACTGTTCCCTGTATAAAGACAAGTTAGTTCAATAAGAAAACTCATGTAAGTAATAACTTGTCTGGGGAAACAGTGTTCTATGTTAGCTGGTTCCCCTAACTGTATCGAACACTTTCAAGGACCTGTTTCCCTTAGCTGTTTGTCATCATTCAAAACTATCAATCAAAACCTAAGGGACTCAACAAATTCCCCCTTTTTGATGATGACAAACTTTTGAAGTTCCTGAACCTGTGAACATGCTCAAAAGGAAAACCGTCAAAAACTTCAAGGACTCAAGACTCTTTG